CTCACGAGTCCATACAAACAACAACCGGACACAATACCTCAAATGCCCATCTCCTTTTCTTCGGTAGAAATTTAATGAAGAGAGGGTTTCTGCTAGCATTGCTACGAGTGGGATCAACCTTTAGAGATACTATATTTTTAAATACGTTGACTACCTCAACATCGATCATGCTCTCGAGTCGATGGTAACAACACCGATCCATATATTGCCGGTGCCAAGATTTAGAGTCTAACTTGATTATCGGGATCTTGTAAATGCTTCATGAATTCTACTTGGAGAATGTCCCAAAACCAACCTTGAGATTTACCCTTCTAGGTTAGTTTCTTCTTGGCTAAAGTGGTGTTAGTTCCAATTAAACATGCAAATTTTGATGGAGCGTGTTCGGGCGGATCGCGAAAGGAGATAGCCTCTGTTTTGAGAAATGGTAGGAGAGCCTCGTATTCCTCGAGTGTAGGTGACAGGTCTATACCCCCAAAGGTGAAGCAATGATAATCGGGATCCCAATTGCCTATCATGGCTTGGAAGCATGCAGTATGGGCCTTGATCTTGAGTAGATAAGGTATGTCACCATATGTCTTCCGGAAATCAAGTTGGTCCTTGGAAGTGAGCATCTCCCAACAAGCCGAGAAGTGGACCGGTGTTGGCCACTTTGTCGACCAATTTAACCCTTTACGGTAGTCTCAACACGAAACCCGAGGGTAGACAATCTTCTTTCTCATTTTGGGCCCACTTAGATCCGACCCAAAAATCCTCGACCTCGTTTTTAAGTTTTTCTATCATGATTTAATATGAAGGATAACCTATAAGATCAAAGGTCGGTATCAACATCATTTGATAATAATTCGTGTCTTAATTAGGTCAACCCTAACAAGCGGGATCTAGCTTTTCTTTGGTTAGGTAAAGCTTGACTAGTCCTAAAACTTTTTCAAGCCTCTAGATCGCCTAAATTATCGGTGGAGTAATCTAGCCTCTAACCTTATACATTAGGAGGTAGGGAAGGTCATTTCATCATTTTCAATGTATAGGGTGAGTCTCGGTCTAAACGAGGGTTTGGAAGAGCATCGGTAGACTTTCGTCATACACGCCTCCAAATCACTCTATCTAATTCCTATCGGGGTTCGGCTCGGTGTCTAGAGCTTTTAGGAGTTTCCTTCGTGGTGTGTGCAACAATTAAAAGAAAAGGCATACAATCCAATTCAAAAATAAACACGCAAGCAAAGAAAATAAATTACAAAAATTTAATTATATACAAAAATAAATAAATAAAATTCAAAAAATAAAATGATAAAAAATAAATATAGGAGATAAATTAAAAACTAAACCTATGGCCTAACTCTAGTCCCCGAGTGGAGTCGTCATTCCGTCGCTATACAACGTCGGACGGGACTCCCCAAAAAAATTAAATCTAAGCATTAATTATTTATAAAATTCATTTATAGAGTTTTGGAGTCGCCACCTAGTATTTAAGGAACTAGGAGCCTAAAATAGGCATTGGTTCAAAGATTTCTAAGGTAAGGAGTTGGTTACGCTTTTAGGAAGATATCTAATCACCTAAAAATGCCCTTTTCGAAAAAATGGTACCATGTATGGTTTTGTTCTAAATTCATCTCCTAAAATATCAAATTATTTTCTGATTTCTAGACTCTCATTTTTAAAAAAAAAAACAAATTGAATTTTTAATTTATGGACATGACATCATATTGAAACGATCGTCGGTCCCCTTTGTCGGACAACACGTCGGTTCAAACATCGGATCCACTAAAAGCCTTGACATAACCGACGTGTAGGAAGACGTCCTAATTAAAAGGTGATTTTTTAGTGACGTCGGTCCCTATCAAATAGGAGACTTCGTCGAAAAGTTTTGGAAATATTTTTTTGGTGACATTAGTCCTATCGGATAGGAGACTTTGTTGAAATTATTATTATTATTTTTATTATTTTTTTAAATATTTTTTTTGGTGGCGTTAGTCCCTACCAAGTAGGAGGCTTCGTCAAAAAAATTTTACACATTTTTTTTTGGTGATATCAATCTCTATCGAATAAGAGACTTCATAAAAAAATTATAATTTTATAAAAAAGAAAAAAAGAGAAGACATTGAAGTAACAATTTTAAATTAATATAAGAAAAAACGTCAAGAAATAAAAATAACAAGCTAAAAAAAAGATAAATAAAAAAAAGAATTCATCCTAGACCCCATCTATTAACCCACAACTTATTTTTCTCCTACCTATTCCCTTTTTCTTTTTTACTTTCTTATTTTTTTTATTTAATTTTTTCGGGAGAGGTTGGAAGACCAGCCTTTTTTTTTTTTTTTTTACAAAAGGGGCAAATTAGGTCGGACTCGTCCTTGTTTTTTTCCTTCTTTTTTTCATAAAGGAAGGAGCCCGCATGGCTTTTTTCTTTTTTTTTTCTCAGCTGGCTTTAACCCGGAAACAAGCCCAAGTGAACATTTTTGACAAAAAATAGATTAAACACCCTAAAGACTCTCCCTCTCTCCCGTTCTTCTCAATCTTCTTATTCTCTCTCTATTTTCTCGCATTTTCTCCATAAATTAAAGCTTCGTTCAAGACAAATAACATGCCCCGTTCATGTTTTTATTCAAATCGAACACCAAATCCGAAGCTTAAACGAATAGTTAATTATCGTTTGTGATGAAATTTAATAGAATCAAAACTGAAAAATGAAGAAAGAAGAAAAAGAAAAAAAATGATTACCGACCTAGTGAGCTTAAACGGATGATTATCGTTCTAAAAAAACTTCCTCCAGTTGTTTTTGGAAAAAAAAATTAGGGGGTCGTCGATGGATTTTTGGAAACTCAAGTGAGTTCAAGATCGAAAGAGTAAAGTTTAGCAGAGTGTGATGAATTTCAAAACATAAAACCCGAACGCCAAGAACGTTCAAATGCCGCCCAAAAAATTTGGTGGGGAAAAATTCAAAAAAATGCTAATTAAACTTCCAACCCGCGGACCGAAGTTAAGTGATTGATGGTAGTTGAAATCAAACTCTAGGAAGATCAAATAATGGACCCGAAAAATAAAATTAAAACCCCAATGATGATGAACTCCAAGAACATGAAGAACACTCAACCCGTAAAAACCCGTGAAAACCCGGAGAAAAATTAAGCCTTTTTGCTTTCGATTTTCACTCTCTTTTAACCAGAATTTCTTGCCCAAGCTTCCTCTCCTTGTTCCGTAAAACCAAACCCATTTTATAGTCAAAACTTCCAAGAATTTCTCCTAAAATCAAATCTCAATCCCGAATTTTTTTTATCAAAATATTTCCTCTTTAATTCATGATTAATGTGAAATCAAAACATGAATTTTTTTCATTGCTTTCTATTGGTATTGATTTTGGCCAAGAATCCATGATTAATGCAAAATTAAAACAGAAAATTTGAGGAAGATTTGGCGGATTCTCTTAAGGATTTTCGAAGAGAATCTGGATTTAGAGTGGACGACAAGTCGTCCTCCACATTTCAATCCCGTCGTCTTCTTCAACATTTCAATTTGGTCGTTGTGCATTTCTATTTTAGCAATTACGCCCTTTTATGGTACAATTTCAATACAATCTTATCAATTAGGTCCCTAGAAGAAGCAATTTAGGTTCTAAATTTTTCAGTTGGTTCAATTATACCTTTCTTTAAATGCAATTATGCCCCCGAGTGAATGTTTTTGTATTTTTTATCATTTTCTTCTTTTTTTTTCGGTAAACTTCAATTGAAATAAAACAAAACATACATGAAATAAGAAATAAAATAAAAAAATAAAATAAAAAATAAAAAATGGTAAATTTGGGTTATTACAACTATCGCAAAAATTCTCTTTTTTGCTTCGGTTTTTAAACCGTAATAAATTCATTTTTTTCTGGCAGTGAAGTGAGGGGAAAAAAAGTGAGGTGTGTATTTATAAATAAGTAAATAATTTTTTTTCTCCACCGTCTAGTTCAACATTTTGGTATCAGAACTGGTTGGTTAGAGACTACCATACTCCTCAAGACGTCCACGTAACTGTTTGTAGGCAAGTTGCTCTTTGAAATGAATTACCGACCTAGGGTCGGCGAGGAGAGGCTATAGAGGAGACTTTGTTCGTGCACGGTCAAGGACTGTGAAGCTTGTTATCTGGGACCAAGCATACTTGGTACGTAGAGATCAACCAAGTCATGATGTCAGACCATACTAGTGCTCCTGGTAGCATAAAAAAGCTCAACGAGTACAACTATATAGATTGGTAGATCTGTATTAAATCTTACCTCAATTAGAGGTCAGGGTTTGTGGGATATTATCGATGGAGAAGACTCCTAACAATTAATAGAAGATATGTAAGCTATTAGAAAATGGAATATAAAAGCCAACAAAGCTTTGTACATGATTTAGACTATAATAGATGAAAGTCTACTGTCACGTATTGAAGATGCAGAGACAACTAAACAGGCATGGGATGCACTCGTTGCCCTCTACTCAACGAAAAATGACGCTTGCCGTCGGCTTCTTGAAGAAGAACCAACGAACACCGCACAAGGTATGTTATCTATCAATCCGTACTTTCAGAAAGTTCGAAACTTGTATCAAGAAATAGATCAGTTGGATCATGAATCCAAAACTAGAAAAAGTCGAATAAGCAGAATTATCTATAATGGTTTGAAATCCGAATATAAGGGGATAATCACAGCAATAAAAGGCTAGAAAGACCAACCCTCTCTAAATGAATTAGAAAATATATTGGCAAGCCAAGAAGCTCTCCTTAAAAAAAAATGGCAAGGGTTTCTATAAAAAATAATAGTGAGGCAACTTTTAGTAATAAAAAAAAGCCAAAAAAAATAGACATAGTAATGATAGGTCGGGTTATAGTGAAGAAGAAAAGCTATGAGGACAACGAGAGAAATACTAAATAGGGGAGTTTAGTATGGTCGTGGTATAGCACGACGAAATAACAAATGCTTTGTCTGTGGAAAAAAGGCCATTTAGCTCAAGATTGTTGGCATAAGAAAAAGACAATCTAAGGAAATGTGGTGACATCAAAAAATCAGCATGAGATGAAAGACAATGAAGAAGAATGGGACTTTCGAACATCCATTATTGTGACAGCTCCTCCAAATATGACAGAGGAAGAATTCGATTTTGATGATCGAAGTGGTGTGAAAGAGAAAAATGAGAAAGCACTTGTGGCAACAAGATTGCAAGCTACCGACTACAATAACGATTGGATTATAGACTCTGGTTTTTCCAATCATATGATAGGTGTTAAGGATAAACTGTAGTTGCTTTTATCCAAATATAAAGGAGGAAAAATCATAGAGATGGCTGATATCTCAAAATTACCGAGTACTTATACTGGAAACATAAAGTTTATGCCATGATTCAATTCCAATCAAGTCAAGCTACAGAATGTCTTGCAGGTGCCAAAAATGAAGAAGAATCTATTATCGATATCTCAACTGATGAGCTTAGGTAACTACATATTATTTGGTCCTAAAGATGTGTAGGTATATCGAAATTTGAAATATTCTGGTAGTTCAACTTCAATCATGGAAGGATGACAAGTGGAGTCTATCTACATGATGTTAGCAGAGGAAGGATACATAGAAAAGACACGGAGGAATGAGATGGCATATCTGTGGCATGCAAGAGTGGGACATGTTAGTTACCACAATTTGAAGAAAATGATGCAGTGATCAATGCTCAAACGCTTTCCTCGAGTGGAGATTCATGATAATATGATATGTGTTGGATTCTAATATGGTAAGGCACATCAATAGCTTTAAGGTGTACTCGTCTCCTCTATCAAATATAAGTATCTTCAAATACTCGTCCATTTTGTTTTTCTACCATTGTTTTGAACTCCTTAAATTTACCATGGGCTTCTGATTTTTCTTTAAGAATATACACCTAACTTTTTCTATTGAAATCATTAATAAAAGTAAGATAATACTTGTTTCCACCAAGTGGTGGCATATCAAATGGACCAGCTATATCCGAGTGAAGAATCTCTAAAGGCCTTCCGGCTCTCTATGATTTTTCAACTTCAAAACTTTGTCTATGTTGTTTCTTTTAACACGAGCTTCACATAGTTGATCCGGTTGATTAATTTCTGGAAGCCCATGCACTATCTTTGCTCTTGATAATAACTTCAGAGCCGATAAATCCGGGATGACATAACGAGGATTCATTTTTAATGACGGACTTCATGCACTTAGGCATTTCGTATGAATATCAAATGTGAACAAACGATTCTTTGTCATATCAACTTTAGCAATTAATTCCCACTTCGTTGATGATGAGAAAGCAATCCTTCGTGTGTATATCATACCTTTTTTCCGGGAGCCGACCAAGGTCGATGATATTGCTTTTTAAAGCAGGTACATAATAGACATCATGCATATACCTCGTTTCTCTATTTTTTAAGGTAATCATAAGCTTACCTTTGCCTTTAACTAGAATCTTTGATGAGTCACCAAAAGTAACTTCTTCTTGGATTGTGTCATCCAAATTTGTAAATAATTCTTTTTGACCACACATGTAGTTGTTGGCACCGATATCGAGATATCAAACATTTTTCTTGCACTCTTCATTTCCTTTATATGTTAGCAAAATAGTCAATTCAACTTTTTTATCTTCTACTCGTTGCATAATGATTTGTTTCCTCCATCTTTGGAGCTAATCTGCATTCATAAATGAAGAGGTCATACTTGTTACAATTATAACATTGCAATTGTGATTTATCACCTCGTTGTTGAAATCGCCTCTTCCTCGATTTCCGGATCCTCGACCATGTCCAATTATTCGAAAGTCTTCATTTGTTTGGCCTCTTTCAAAAGGGTTTCTACCATGTCCTCATCCACCACATCCACCTTTAAAGCCACCTCTCGTAGCCATCTTTATAGCTACCTCGATTTCCTCTCGCCTCGTCCATAACTATGCTAGCTTGATTGTCACTAATATATAAGTTGCTTTGCAAAGCTTGCTCCGGATGACCGGTATTGTCATTCCGGTTCATTCTCTCGCTCGGGAGCTTGAAGAGAACCCACAAGCTTGTCAATAGAAATTTTTGACAAATCTTTTGATTCTTCAATAGCGATGACGACATAATCAAATTTCCTTGTCAACGAACGTAGGAGTTTTTCCATTACCTTGACATCATCAAGAGGTTTTCCATTTCTTTTCATATCATTCGCCACCGTTTTCGGATGAGTGATGTAATCATTGATCTTCTCGAATTTTACATTTTTAGTGTCTCAAATTCAACTCGAGTGATTGGAGCTGTACCTTTTTAGCTTTTTTGACTCCTTGAAGAGATTTCGTAGAATCTCCTATGTCTCTTTTGATGTCTTTACGTCCGATACTTTCTCAAAGGTTGATTCATCAACTCCTTGGAAAATGAAAAACAAGGCCTTCTTATCCTTTTTGCATGATTCTTTAACCGATGTCTTTTGCGCATTTGTCAAAGATGCTTCGGCAGATAGCATCTTTGGGCTTTACATAGCCTTCTTCAATAATCTCCCATAGATCGTGTGAACCGAGCAGAACCTTCATTTAGATGCTCCAGTTTCCATAATTCAAAGTTCTTAATTTTGGGATCCGAGGCTGAATCATTTGAGCCATCATCTCACTTGAAAGGAAGACACGAAACCGGCTCGATACCACTTGTTGGAGGTGTAATAGGCTCACAAAATAACTCAAACAAGAATATATATATATATATATATATATATATATATATATATATATATATATATTACAAAAGAAACCTTATACATAAAATATTTTTACACTATATTTCTCACTTTCTAGCTGCTGCTAGTATAGCGTCAGCTCACCCCTTTTTTTTTCTTTTTTTCTCTCCACGTTTTCATGCTACTATTACAAATAAGGTTGGTTCCTTTTATAAGCAAATTAACCGCCTTTGTTCCTTCAGTTACAGCCTATGGACGGCTGGCTACAGTTGCCATGTACAACTCATGCATCTTCACCGACTTTGCACTTCAATTCCAGCCATGCATAGCTCACGTCCAGCTGCCATGTTCCAGCCCATGTACAGCTCATGGATTTCTTTAATTGGCAGCCATTTTTTACCACCTCCCGTGTACATTTGTCTTGTGCTGTGATTTGTTTCTTCATTGCAACGGGTTTGACTTCCAAGAGTACCCTTACCTAATGCCTTAATAGCTGCTCTCATCTTCATCACGCTGATTGGTTTCGGTAGTCTTTTCTAAGTATTCTTTCGAAGGCTCTTATATAATTTTTGCACATCTTTTTTAGACATCTGACCCCCCTTCTATTCTATCTACTGAGTTTCTTTAGTGTATTTATTAAGCTTACTGGTTCTCACATTAGCATCTGAAATAGACCCCTGACAACTCGTAATATTCAAATGTGTCAAACTAATTGCATCATCACTGGAAGTTGCCTTATTGTTACCTCGGGTTTTATCGACTTGTAATTTAGGTTCTTGTCATCCATCTCTATTACTCCCATTTATCTTAGTTTTGTCAATTTCTACAAGGGAAACTGTCGTTGCTATCTTCATGTTTACTAGATGTTTAGTGTCTGACTCATCATCATTAGACTCCTCATCAATCAAATTATCGAAAAAGGCAAGCCTATTATCCCCAGCCCCCATCTATATCCTCGCTCTAAAGCGTTCTCCTCATCTTCTTTGTGATCCAACGCTGAATTTTTATCAATTTTTGCATCCGATGTTTCCTAACCTGAAGTTCAATCTGAACCAAACTTTGCATTTTCTGTCAAACCTGCATTTGTAACTTTGTCCACAAGTGCAATATCTACTTTGTTACCCTCTTGAAACAGTCTTTCCTTTAATGTTACCATTATTTACCACATGATACCCAAAATTTTTCACCTTCTGCCAGGCCTCTATCCTTTTTCCATCATGCAAACCTATTTTATGAGTAACTACGATAATATGACTTGTGGCGTTATTCTGGTACTTGTTCTTCCCTGTTGGAACTGTTAGGACTGTAAGAATAACCAGTCTCACATAAGAGTTAGAAGTTTCAGCATGGAAGTCTTGCACTCTAGGCAGGACTGCTGTGAACCAGCACGCATCCCAGGCGCAGGTCTGCTGCGAGCCAGTAGGCACTCCAGGCGTGACTACTCCGAGCCAGTGTGTGGAAGACTCTATGGGACAGACTTCTTCTCACTGTCAAACACCCTTTGAATTATCTTGTAATGTCTATACAAACCAATAAACTGATCAAGAATTATACAATAATAATATACAGATTCATTATTTTACAGGAACATCAACATCTTTTAATTTTAGGTCTAGAAGGTTGGTGAGATTTTCTCTTTCGACATTTACTAATAGAGTGGCCAACCACTATACTATATTAAATTCTCTTCGTACTCCACGAATTGCCAAAATCTTGATTCTTTGCTTGAACCCACCAAAATTCTCGAAGGAAGAGCAACTGAAATGTCAACTTCTAACATACGAGCATACATAGGATGTCTCAAGGCTAAGGTTCTGTCATCAGCGCTTACACGCTGAGAACTAATTCAGCTTCCCTATCATTGGTGGCATGGCCACAAAAACTAGGGTAACCCTAGGTTGTGGATGAAAACGCAAGAGAAAGAATCTTTTTATCCTTTTTAGAGAGGAAAAACTTTTCTAGTATGAAGAGATTGAATCCAAATATCCAATAATTTTCCTTTATAAAAATGCAGGTTACCTAATCAATCCACACAATTGTTAGAGAGATAATATAAAATCAATCTCGATTGGTATTCTAGATAGTACCAAAAAAAGCAACAAGATTCTCATTAGCTTGGGACGAAGATGATAAAAGTTATCCTCTTATAACAGCAACTACTATGCAAGAAGAGTGGTTAGCGTTAACTAGGTCCAAGAAAAGACATAACCAGCTTGAAGCTAGATTTAAAAAAACTTACAAATTGATAGAAATTAAATATCATTCTTTAACTCAATAGATAGAGGGTAAACACAAATTAAAAATAAAATTCATAGAAAACCATTCAAAAGAGTTTAATGCTAGCTATTAAAAAGATTACATATGTTAAAACCGTGTATGTTTTCAATATATTTCAATACAGAGTAAAAGATAAAAGCAAGGCTTATATAGCATATACAGAGTCCCATTATAGGGTTTCTTAATGAGGAGGCATATGTACGGTAAACAAATCACTAAAAAGTCTCCACAATTATAGGAGAATAACAGCTCACGCCATCTGTCTCTTTTAAGTTGGTGCATAGATATCGCCAATGTTCAACTTGTCAATT